AGTGCGGCACGGTTGGCAGATACATGGTGGGGTGAGGGGAAGTGTGTAGGGAACTGTAGGTGAGGGGAGCGGGGTAAGGGGGAAACTTGCGAGAAAGAGACTTCCGGTAAGCCACTTCCGTTTCATCAAATCTGTCGGTTTTAAAATTCCAGCCCCCCGAGTACGCGACATAAAGAACTTCGTTCTAAAAAAAAAAGCTCGCGTGTACTACTTTGCTACGCGCAAAAATCTCTCGACCCGCATTTTTCCGCGAACAGCTCGACTGCCTCCTTACTTTAGGTGTACGAAAAAAAGAAAAAAAATCCGAAACAAAGAAAATGCCAGCGTCATCAAGGGGTAAATAATACCTCGCTCTCGTTGCGTTCCTTCTCTCTCTCTTCCTCGCCCCCCCCCCCTTGCAGCCATTAGGAGCACCAGTGAGTCCATGAATCAAAGAACGCGCTCCTCCTAATTACACATCAAAAAGCCGAGGGTAAGTACCTACCCATCCGCTTTCGCGCTCGGGGAGATGTCGCGTGAGGCATGTCCGAGCCGCTTTTCTACGCTTGTTTCGTGAAATTAGTAACCGTTGCTGCCGACCGTTTATTTTTTTTTTTCTGTCTCAAATGTCCTTCCCAGGACGAGCAAGAAGCGAAAAAGTCACGCTCTCCTCTTCATTAGCTCGATACTTACGGGGCAAATTTTTCGCGCTTCTGTAATTACGAAAGCAGAAAGGGGACACTTTACTGCACCGCCGAATGCTTGATACAAACTCTACGTGGGTAAGTATTTTGTACAGATGTGCGCACTACTCGTGCAAATCTCTTTCGAGTGCGCCAATTAAGTATTGCGATGTGGCGAGCGAGTGACGCGCGGTTTGATTGATGCGCGCGTGATGGTTGGTGCGAGAAACCAGTAGCGCCATTCTTGTAATCATCGAATATAAAAATAGTAGGGTAATGATGTGAATTTTATTTTTTTTTATTTTTTTTTTTTCATTTCGGATACAAAACTACACTATTTACCTACAAGCAAGAAATTTACGAACCCTCCCATCGATTTATTTTGTTTCTTACTTACTGAATAAGTGATTACATTAGTTAAAGCGCACAAAATGCCAAAAAGAAAAAAAAGTGGTATCAGCAGCTTAAATATCAAAAGGAAAAGAAGAAACTTACGAATTCAACGACGAGCACCTAGTTAGTATACATCACCGGAGATCATCAGACGCAGGTCGTCCTTCTCTCGTTTCCCTCTCGCCTATAACATAACGCGCGTTCTCCACTTTTTTTTTCCCGCAATGCGGCCTCGTATGCACATTATATATGTGATGCACATACATCAAGGTATATACCTGTAATGTAATAAACAGTGTTCCCACGGTGGGTTGTTATAACTTCCTGTGTGTGGTGGTGACCGGCAAAGTAAGAAAGGAGGTAAAGAGGGAAGGCACTCTAGGGATCCTCTTCTCTCTTTCGTGTATGCGATGGGTGTACTAGTGCAGGTGGCGATGGGGCGAATTCTTGGAGACAATGAGAGAAGTCGGAGGTGTATAATGAGATGCTGTATACCAGCGGCACGAGAGGTATGGAAAAAGGAGGCTACGAGCCTACACGTGCATAGCTGAAGAGATGTACGTACTAGCGACTTGATGTCATGTTTATCCCGCATGAAACGCTGCTGGTGGTGGTGGTTGTTTTCTTATACGAGGTACATCTCCTGTGTGGACTGGCCGTGTGTTACGCGCGGGCTCTTAATTGGCTCGGGCGATCGCGATTAATTAACTAATTAATTAATCGCTCGTGATGTATGTGTGCTAGGAGGACAACCGGGACGGTTCGCGAATGTTTGGGTTTGCCTCTTGTTGGATGTGTATTTTGATTAGGGGGGGGGGGGGGGTGAATTTCGTTTGATCTCCGTATGTGGGATTGTCCGTAGGTAATTTACGTTTTTTGGTATAAAAAAGTTTTTTTTTATTGTTTCAGGATATAAATTTTTTCGTTTTCATACAAAGGTCGTCTTGTATAAGGTACTGAAAGGGCCTTTCAATTATCAAGAGTACCCATCATGTTTGGAAGTATCGTAGTACGTGGTAAGTACAGTTTTTTGAATAAAGTCAATCTTTCGGAGTGATGTAATTAATTTCAATTGTTGGTCACATGACTATGTACTGAAAAACCGAATAGATGAATAGCCCATTCTTTATTTTTATACGAGACTTTGTACTACGATAGAAAAAGAACGTCTTCATATGATTACTCAAAATAAAACCTATGCATAATATGTATTTGCGGGCAGACATAATATCTTTTGCATGTTAAGAAAATAAAAATTTTCCTTTTCCACTAACAAATCAGATGAAACTGAGCAAGTAGTTACAGTGTTATTAATTACTAAGTATTGTAAACCCGAAAAGAAAGTCACAGTACCTACGTAGGGTGGCTACCCCCTGCAGATTTACTTCAATCGTAATTGTAAAAGAATTACGATCCTTAAACACCATGACCACGTGTATTTTCAACGACAAAAATATTTAGAACGTCGAATCGATTTCAATGCTTTATTAAAAAAGAAATATGCACGGTGTCAATATAGGAGTGCAAATATCTTGTGGAGATGTATATCAATTGTCTTTTACATATAGTTACAAATTTATCCAACGTGATTTTTTTTTTTTCATGATTCATGTAATAGTAATAAATAATTTTTCCCATCGTCATACAAACATCCAGACTATGTTGATTCACTCGTCGTTCTTCAAACTTTCCCCGATTCCAGTGAAAAACGAGAGTAGTAAAAAAAAAAAATAATAAAAAAAAAATAAAAGTGCTGAAGAAGCACACGACCTGCACCCAACGGGAACATCCGCATCCGTAACGCGGCCACAATGCGGGAGCTTGAAAAAAGTCCTTCGGTTAATATTTGCCGAGGATGTTTCAACCTTTAGTCGGACGTATACGCCTCACTGGCACCAGAGTACACGTCAATTCTAGCTCTATTTACGTACACGCATACGTATATATCCGTATGAAGCTATATTTCGAAAGTATACGTACAGTGTACCATTGGAGAAGAGGGAGCTCGTATACATACATCTCCCACGGCAAACAGATCGCGGAGGTTGTTTGCCATCGCTGCTGTCTCGATGATATATATATATGTGCTCTCCCCTTTCCCCGTTTGTGGACAACTTCTTCTTCTTCCTCCCCATTATATACGTGCATTTTGCGCTTTCCCTCGTTTCTTGAGTTACACGTACTGATAATGTCCTCTTCGGACGGACACAGCGGAGTGCACGAGCTGTACATATATACATATTCTTTACGGAATAGGAGTCGCGTGGTATTATACACACATGCGATCTTATAATCATGTCTTTCTGCACGATTACGTATACATGTAGAGCTTGTTCATGAGTGATGTAATAAATCAAAGCTGGTCGTTATTTGTTTGTCCAAAGAGAAAAAAATGAAATTCATGAAGGAGAGTAGCCTATACATAGAAAACTTCGCGAGAAGCGATTGTGGAAGCACGTTTTCGAAATGACTTTCCCTCCAACGTGGCATTGGGTTCACAAAGTGAGGAAAAAAAAAAAAAAAAACAATATGTACTTCGCAGTAAGCACCCCACCTGGCACTGTACAAATCGCCGACTCCAAAAAATGTCAGTCATTCGGAACCTCAAGAGCCCGCAGAAGCCATTACAATGGTCATGGAGGGAGAATGAAATAATCCACGTGGTCACGCAACAAACGGCCGAGAGAGAAATTGTCGGGCGCAGTAGCCGATAATTACACTGCACCGAGGAAATAGAGAGCCCAAGGGGCCATTTCGGCAGCACGCGAATGGACCAGCTTTCGTGAGAGGGACTTCGAAATTTGTACAAACATGGCCACGGGCACTTGCATCGCTCGCTTTTCATGACTCAACGGCGTATTGTGCGAAACAACCACATGGCCAAGTCTGCAGAAAACGATGTTTAACGATAAATACCATAGGAAGGATAGTAGAATGGAAAATTATCGAGTGAATAACAAATTATGTCCACCTGTACTTTACAGTTATCGTTGCATTTATCAATCCCTACATCCACCATGTCATTCTTCATTAATGAGTCTGTGTATTTACAACAAAGTTTTTGTATTTACTTTTTTTGTTTTTGTTCTATTGAGTCTGTATTAGCTTATGACCACAATATGTTTAACTTTTATGTTCTGGCATTAGATTTGCATCTACGTTTTGTTTGATTTAATACCTTTTTTTCTTTACTTACATTATCTTTTTTTTACCTCAATTTATACGCTTAAAAAATTTCTCTTACTTATTGTTTATTTTTTCTTACTGCATTTTTTTGAAAAGATTTTGTTTCCTTTGTCACCTAATCTCAATATTTTGGTATTTGATCTGGAGTGTTATTGTGTATGTTTTTACGTCTTTATATTTGTGACGCTTTTACGTCTTCAAAAATTTCATCAGAGTACTTGTACTTCCGTACATTGTCCCTCTGTGCTTTTTACTTCCACATAAAGAAAGTTTTGTATTTTGTATTAAATTACTATTATCATGTCTTCACAACTATAAGTTTCTCTGGAAGATATTTGATTTTTATTTTTTATTTTTCAAAACTCGAGATTTATCCTTTCTTTTAATGAATCTTGATATCTGTAGTTATCTATTTCCATTACTTTTCTTTATAATTTATTTGTAACTTTGATTTTCTTTCTCTGAGTTCTAGAAAAAGTAAGTACCTCCCCACAAAATAAGTCTAAATTTTCAATACCTTTTTTCTAACAACTTTTTCAAAAAGTAATTTCTATATTTTTTTGTTGAATAAATTTCGCAGATAAATATGCTACTCTTAGTTATTACTTGGTTTGTTTTAGTTTTATTAAAACTTTTTTTTTTATACATATAATTAAAACAAATTAAAATTATGATTTTACAGCAATAAGTACATGCGTCTCCACTGTCTCAAGTATTAAAACAGTACACAGATTTAGTGGAAAATGTGCAGGTATTTAGCTTTGGTATCCTCACCCATAAAATATGTATTATTTTTTTTTGTTTAAAAAAAGTTAAAGTATTAGATTACTATTACTCAAATTTAATTTAATTATTTATTATACACACTAATAATTCCACAAAATACAAAGTAACAATCTGAAGAAACACATCAAATGCGTATTTAAGTTCTCTTTTGTGACGAGTGATGAGCACTGATGTGCTTTGCTTAGTCCTTTTTTGAATGTTTCAAGAAATTGTCTTGGTTGAATTCTGTAGTGAATGTTTTTCTTATGTCCTTTTCATTGTGCTCAAAAACTTTCAGAGTACAAAATAAACGTGATATTACAGCTGCATTGAGAATTACGATCACTGGTGCAGTCACGACGATAATAAAAATCACCAAAATTAAAAGCACCGTTACTTGGACGTCATATGAAATACTTAGAGAGTAGAAAATGATTTCGGACGATATTATGATTGTTGAAGAAAGAATTCCATTCAAAACTATAGCAGCTAGTAGAAATTTCTAAAAATTTATAGTAAATTATTGATTGCACAAATTTTGAAATTTAATATTATTTTTGCTAACTGAGTCTTTATTTGTCTGTTTAAAAATTAAGTGGGACTTATGAAATTACCAGTTATACCTTGGATACAGAAAAAAAGCATTCCGGCAATTGTGAGTAAAGCTGACAAACTGTGTCCGCAGATTCTTTAAAACTTTTTCCATAAATTGAAGTTATCCCCATACTAATTTCATGCACTCTTTTATAAAGTGAAAAAATGGTGCGGTAAGGTTTATTCGAATTTTTAATTATTCTGTATATATCTGGAAAAGTAACCCAAATAAGAGATCCGTAAGCAGCTGTTCCAATATGATACCTGAAATCAAGCAATTTTTTAAATATGATGTTGAAAATAAATTTATTGCAAATTTATTGAAGTTGCAGAATCAATAATCTCACAAAATATGCGTCCTGACATGGAATTTTATTTTGAAATCATACTTATAATTTAACATCATACTTGAACAAGTTTTATACTATTAAGTATTATTAGTATTGTAAGTTTAATTTATATATTAATATTTCATCAGTTAGTGTTGAATAAAAACATTACTTACTTACAACAAACTAGTTTTTCGCCCGTTTTAAAACTATTTTTTTCAAGTAAAAAGAACTTTGTAAGATTATCATTTAAGTATGTATGTTATAAACGTAGTAATATCAGATTTCAATGCTTATAATAATTATTTTTGTAACGAGAACGAAATAATATCTTCAAGGAAACTTTTTTTTTTCACTAGACATATTTTCCAACCAAAATCTTGACAGCTTTATTATTGCCTGCAACCGTTGATACTAAAATTTCATAATTAAAAAACTAAAATTTTACCTTAACGCTGTAACTACATTTCTCGATACCAATCCACGTGGAACATTTAATTTATCCATAGTTTGAAACCAAATGCAGAATGTTCCCCAAAGTACCATGTGTCGGAATAAATCTATGACTGAATGAAGCCATATTGTACCACATATATTCAGACAATGAAGAAGTAGCAGTAATAATGACGGAAACTCGAAGTAATCAAGAGAAAGTAAATGAAAAAACACAGTGATTCCAAAAGCTAATACTAGAAGTTTCGTGATTGTAAATAATATGGTCAGTTTTGTTGCTTGAGGAAATCGGAGTACAGCCCTGAAATAAATCGTAAATTAAAAAAAAAAAAAATTATTTCTCAATAGGTCAAATCTATACAATAAATTTGTAAATAGCTTACCTGCATGCTTCGCTCATGACTTCGCTCATAAATTTGGTTTCAATTTTTGATACCGTGCGTTGGGTAATATTTGAGACAAACGAAAGTAATACATTTGATGTAAACTTGAAAAAAAAGGTCACGATAAAATAAATTAAATTTTGTTTGAATGAGGACATTGCTAAGAATATGGCTAACAACTAACTATAATATACGCACCGATACGAAAATTGCCGTAAATACGAAAGAGCCGAATATAATCCACCTTTAAAAACAGCAAATAAAAAAACTCAATGTCAAAATTTTGACTGTCACGAGGATGATAAAAAGTTGATTTACCGTGAATCGATAATCTTATTTATTACTATAAATAAAACATCATTGGATTTAATGTCTTGCCTGAGTTTCATTACATTACCAGTCATGAATGCTAAAAATTATAAGCAACATTGTCACAAAGAAATTTTAATAATATTATTAAGAAATGTCTAGAAAACATGTTAGTACTTGTTTGTTATCCTAAAAATAATCATAAATTTAACTTCCAGGTAGACCCACACTTTTTCACAAACTCCTCTATAATTCATTACACTCTTTTCATTTTACTATACCTAATTGATTTGTTCTATTCAACGTTTACCCAGATTTGTTTCTGTGATGCAAGAAAAAACCCTGTAAAACCCCCAGGAGAAAATTCTGGGAAAACCTGCCCTGGGACGACCCAATTTTTTGCCTTGGGTCTTCCTCGACCTCCAAGTCATTTGGTTTGAATGCCAAAGTTGAATTCTCATACAATACATCTTCGCAACTTAAATTGTTGAGTGTGAAAAAGCATATTAGCAATGGCCATAACAAAACTAGGGTTGATCAAGCGTTTAAGTGACCAAAACACTCCAACCATTTACCCATCAAACGCAAATAATGAACCAAAAAATAAAAAAAATTAAAATTACTACGTACTATACAGTGCCACGCAAACGTATGCTGCCATACAAACTACAAAGGCGATCAATGTTTTGAAGTTAGTGATTTTCTGAGGCTTATCTTGGAGACGTATCGAGTCACTCGTCGCCATAGTATCTGTAAACATCAAACAATACAAAATGTATACATTTTAAAAGAAAAGCCTACTACATAAGTAAAGTATACCATAAAAATATTATATCTTGTATATACGATATACCTACCTATAGGTATGTTTTAACTCTCTAGGCACACATTTGATGGTCAAATTGTCTTATCATCGACCAATAAACCTGGACATCCAATTTGTGTTTATGTATAGCAATCGAAGATACCTCTATAGCACACGCTGCTTTGTTCTCTTTGTTAAAATTTTGTGGTCATACCTATGGTACCAATCTGTTTATTTTCACTGGTGCCAAAACTAAAGAAATACAGAAAACATGGAAAACATTTTTTTAAATCATATTAACGAATGATGGATTTGAAACAAACAACTGACGTGGATTTAATTAGGTAAGAACTTTGCCTGATTGACTGACGTCTCCTTGCGAGCCCACTATGATATCAGGATCAAAATGGCAAAATAGTTTTTCGGTAATCCTATTTAGACACAGCTTTCTCGTGGCTTTTTCACTGAACTTCCATCTGCATCATCACCAACTAAGTAACCCGAACGGAGCACCACACTAATGAAAAAACTTTTACAACTGGAGCTTGTTTGTTTCTTAAGTTAAATTTAATAGACGCTCATTAAGATAATACGTATTTCAACGTTGAGCGAGTTTCAGCGCCAACACTCTGGATATACTATAGAGGTGTGTTCTGAGCAGTACAGCTGCAATTAATATTTTGGAGCCGTATACGGTAAAAGGACTGTGGTTGGATTTGTGTGTGAATCGTAAAGGGATAAATGTATAACACAGTATTATCAAAGCTTTTCAGGTTTTCCAATCACAGTACTAGCGAGTTGACAATTATCTCCAACTTTGGAATGTGTGTACTCTAAAATATCGGCTTACTTTAAATACAGATTCTAGTTTTACGATAAAAAAAAAGAAAAATGTACGTATATTAAAATTGATTTTTATTTTGTTACGTGCAGATGTTGCGTAAAAACAATGATACCAGAATTGTTAAAATTACCTATTTTTGTCCAATACAGGGAAACTCTTAGGATATACAAGACTAAGTTAAAGTAGTTGCTACACTGAAAGAAAAAAAAAAAAAAAAATTATAGAAAAATTCCAGCAAAAATTACCATCTCGCGAAGTAAATTGGATGCAAGCTGGCAAAAAAAGGAGACAATTGTTATTATTAATAGTAGTGATTATTGTTTTAAAAGTTAAAATTATGGTTCGAAAAGTAAAAGTTATACGGTTAGAACAGTAAAAACTTCTACGCGGGAAAGAAAAATTTATTGACGATCCTTTTAAGGTTTACTGCCCCAGCATGGTAATTTTAACTGTTAAAACAATAATCTTTGCTATTAAAAATAATAATTGTTTCCTTGCATCCGATTTACAGTGTAAAACGGTATATCTTGCTGAAAATTCTCTATGATTTTTATTATTGTTTTCTCCACGGAACATCCGCAAGCCGACAAAAAAATTGTTCGAGATCATAGTTATTTCAGAGTTTTTTCAGAGACTTTGCCGTAAGTATAAAGTCGTCGAAGCCTCGATTTCGGCGCATTCGTTTTTTGGGAGCTACGACAGTGCCGTCCCTGCTCCGGGAGTATGTATACAAGTAGAGGCGGTAGCTGAGGGGAGGGAAATTGACACCAAAAGTCGACTGCAATGCCCTTCCTTTCTCCTCACCTGTTCCGTCCAAGGCGTTCTCGAGTTTCACGTGCGCATATAGTGTGTATGCCCCCCCCCCCCACACACACACTCATATTGTCCTTTCCAAGGGTTACATGTACATGTGTCTGTGTACACTTGGTATGGAGAGTAAATTATATGCAGATTGCAGGCTGCTCTTTTTGATGAGTCTCCGATGGAAGCTGCGGAACTTGTGGGTATGATGTTACACGTGCACGAGCGCCCGCGTGATTTGACGCGCGTGACGCGAGACCGAGCCTTCGTAAGGGATGTATATGTACGTACATTATGCACGAGTTGGTCCTCAAGTGTGCGACTACAGGAATATACACAAGGACGAGAACAGGCCGATATTTGTCTTTTGTAAGACTCGCTTGGACGACGAGATCGGTTAGCTTGTAATTTTTTGTTTAATGTTTTACGGTAAGAAATGCATTTTGTTGGTATCGTATTTTTAACGGAGGTACATCTGAAAGAAAGTTCGAAATTTGTTGAGCTATAAATCGATGTGATTAGGTATTTTTTCTGTATTTGTATAATAGATCGAGTTATGTTATTAAACGTCTCATGAATGATCAGCCCTACACCCGATGAATATGCGAAAAAACGATTACATCGATTTGCCGGCGATGCCAGGACTTCCTATCGATTTGTCGTGAAAAATTGTCGTTGAATCGACCAGAGAATTTATCACCCATGGAAGGGATATTTTAAATTATAGATTTATTCAAAGTATTGCCAATAATTGCTTAGTGGTAAGCTGTTGGAATATTGGAGCTGATCTACGTGCAATTTTAATGTGGCTGTTACTTATTTTAATGGTGTTTGTCGATGGAAATAAATAGTTGTCTATACATTTATCATTTATGTCGAAGATGCTAATGTAAAGGCGTTACTATGATTTTGAATCATAAGCTAGTTCAAGTTCACTGAGAGAGAAAAATAATAAAAAATTATACCATGCTAGAATGATAATCTGGTGTGATTTCACTGTCTAAGGACTTTTTACTTTCGGAATTACCATTTTGGACAGTGGACTCACGATAAAAATTACCGTTATAAACAGTAAAAATTATAATGTTCGACTTAACTGCTCTAGATAACCATTCTAGCACAATAATTTTTTAAATTATTTTCTCTCTCTCGCAACTATCCACTTAAAATATTTTTCCATCCAATCTACACCAGCATGTACTGAAGATTTTCTTAGGATTCCAAAGTCCCATATTCCTATATAATATTGCACCAACCAAAAATTATGTCTTTAAACCTATGACAATACGTACAAGACGAAAACATAAAATTTGGCAAAACTACTTATTGTCAGCAGCATCAAACCCTCGAAGTTAAGATGGGTCTATAAGACCCCATTAAAAAACACACGTACATGCATAGCAAGCACCTGGAGACACTTTTTTCCCCATTGCTCTAGCAAAATGCATATATGCTCGTACATATACGTGCTTGCGTGTGTAACATATCGACACGCGCCCGCCGTGGTATATACCTTACAGGAGCACGACTCGTGGAATGTGGGCAAACTCGTTAGTTCTCCCGCTCCACTTGCCCATGTAACCATACGCGCACGCCATGTACACCCTTCCAATACGCCATAAAGACGGAGAGTGCAGAGTTTTCAAGAGCAATCACAAGTTGGGAGTCTATACACGGGGGAAAAATCGGCGATAATTCTCGCGCCTCGTCTTGCACACAATTTGCGCTACGGCTATGTGGGGTTTTACAATGTAATATACCCGCGAGGTGAGCCAAGTTACGTTTCCGCGTCGTTGGTACGTTGGGCGATGCCTATCGAGAAATTGACTCGTCGGTGTGGCTCATCGATCCATCGTGCCAATGATGGTTATCTGTAAGGAGAGGCTGTAGCTTGCGTATCGTCTTTTTTTTTTTTTTTTTTTTTTTTTTTCAATAAGACATGTCTGGTTATCATCGAGGTGGTGCGTTGATGGTTTTTGCCAGACGGTATCGCGACTTGGATGGATGGGGAATGCAATCGTGGTATCCCGCTCTTGGCCTCAGAGGTTGATGGTAATCCGTCTGTGTGAACATTTAATTTTTCACTTTTGCAGATACTTGCCTCAAACGAGCTTTTTTTCGAACTTTATTATGTACGTAGATTTTGTTTGGAATAACTTTTAGTTAGGGAAAGATTTATCATTGTGCAACTGTATTCTATATCGGTTCAAACATTAATGTACTTAGTTTCGAGGAATTGGTATTAAATCCCGAAAATTAATTGATTCTCCCATAACTTGAAATTTAATTTGTACATTTAGTTTATTCATAGAATTTTTTAGTTCAAAGTTAGCTTTAAATTATTTTTCAGGTGTTGAACACAGTATACCTACTATGTCTTATTACACGCGTACATCAGTTTAGTTGCTTTACATGTTGAACTTGTATGCTTAGGAATCACCTTTTGTGTCTTGAGGGGTAGTATTAAACGTTTCAGAAGTGTATCGATATGTAAGTAGGACTTACGTATATACTTCCTGAAATTACTAATCTGCTTCGTTTTTAAGATTTTTTTTCCTTTAAGTTTCTCATTTCTAAGAAAACAGTGTTGTCTTGAGGTAGTTCTTGCGTGAAATGAAAACCAAGGAATTCCATTGAGCTTAATTTCTGCCATAGTTGATATTATAATTGAAAACATTACAGTTAACAGAATATTCAATTTTAGATTAAATAATTTAAAAACTCATGTTAAAAGGATTCCAATTAAAAAATTAAACAGTCAGTGTAAACAATGTTTAGATTATTAGAATAGTGTTAACTGCATATAGGGCCAACTTTCGTCTCTAACACCTTTAAGATCTTTTAACATCGAAACAATGACAATTTTAACAACTGTTGTCGTATTAGAATGTAATTACCAACGTAAAATTATTTAAATCGCCGTTCAACCTGATTGAAGCTAATTTGATCCTTAAAAACCTATCATAGTTTATTTATAAATAAAATCACAACGCAGTGACCCTGGTTGATGAGGTTCTGAGTATAAGAACTACCTCAAGTTCTAAGAAATGTGTGGTGTTATCATATTGCTGAGTTTAACGTGGATTCGCCTTTTGAAATAATTATCACCACTATCAAGATGTGTACTTAGCTGTACCATGAACTTAAGCACGTGAGAAATAAATATACAGGATTTAAAATATGCTTCAGGTTGCAAAGCATAAAAACTTTCGTACAAAGCAACTCAAGCGAGAAACTTAAGAGTCGATGGAAGTGTTGAAAATTGATTGTCTCCAGTTAATTAAGAACTTATAAACCCCTTTTGAAGAATTAAACATTAGTTACGAGTATCTAAGGAGTTTGTCCAAGTTTTTAAAATAAACAATTATAGTTTTAATTTGGATTACTTATACGTTGAAATGGAAATTGAATATTTGAGTAATCTACATACTCGTTGGTAAATATAAAAGTGGTTGTTCCAGATTAAGAAGACAAAGTTTTATAATTAACAATGAGGAGAATTTTTAATTATTCTGTATAAGTAATAAATAATTTTTCCCATCGTCATACAAACATCCAGACTATGTTGATTCACTCGTCGTTCTTCAAACTTTCCCCGATTCCAGTGAAAAACGAGAGTAGTAAAAAAAAAAAATAATAAAAAAAAAATAAAAGTGCTGAAGAAGCACACGACCTGCACCCAACGGGAACATCCGCATCCGTAACGCGGCCACAATGCNTTTTTTTTGGATCGACTACGTTTTTTTTTTAATTGAAAGAAAATATTTAATTGAATGAGGGTAAAGAAATTTTCTTTGATTCAAAGCATGGCATTTTGATTGTGTCTAACATTTCCGGTTAATATGATTAACCGATTCGTAGATGCGATGTAAATAATTATTAGAAAATTGAGAAATGAATTGTTTAACGAATGAGATGTTGACTACTATCATGTATCCAATTAATTTTATAAAGTATTTTGCAAGAATAACATTCCTAACGTATTTGGAGTTTGATTTTATTTGTAATGTTCTTATGAGTTCAAGTGCGTAGGATCAAAGCATGAATAAATAAAAAATGCATTAGTTAGCGAAAATAGTTGAGTTTTGAAATTTGTCTATGATATTAAATAATAGATCAAACAATGAATGATAAAAAAATGGAAGAGTTCAATGGCTGTATCACGGGTGTTTCTTCAAGTTTTTTTCTAAATGATGCAGAATCAACGAATTCGACATCACTCAGCGATCAGAACACGCTCAATATGAATTACGCCTTACTATCAGCTAAGGTAATCATGCCAAAACAAATTTTTACAAGCAATAATTAAAAGTTTTCACTGAGAAATTAAATTTGTTAAAAAAAAACATTAAAAAAATTTTTAGATAGGAAAAGAATATAAGGGAATAATATAATAGTTAGTTCTTCTTATTAATATCCTATATGTCCTTTGGTGATCAAGTAACATATATTTGATTATTTACAGAATTCTACTAAAGTATTTCAACTAGTTACATTTTTTTTGTTCTAATTTTAACAAATGACTTAAACGATGACTTTGTATCGTTGAATATTAGGAAATGATAAGACATTGTTAAATATTTATGACTAAGCTATTGAAAACTAAAAAAGATAATGTTTTAAAACCTAAGTCGTAACAAAATTTTTATCATTTCACTCAGTTGTAAATGTTAAACTAATGGATAACTTTATTTTTTCGTAGTTCGTAACAAACATTTTCTCATCTACATAAACATGAATTTTCGATACTCGCCAAAGGTTTGCTTCTCCGAAACATTCAATCGTTGCGTTCCCTTACCTACGTCCTGAAATTTTCAAAAATTATCCCACCGCAGCCACATTGACTATATATTGACTGGGTTTTCTCTTCAAAATATACCTGCACTGTACATGTGGTTTCCCAAGCATTTCCAAGCGGCCATCGGTATAGGCTTTTAGTCTCTCATGAGCAGTCAAGACGCATAGTACTTATATACAAACAAGGAATAGTGGCGAGAGTGAAGATAAACCGTACGACGTGGTCACTGTATTGGTGCATCCAGTAAAACGACGCAGTAGATTTTCATTTTCCATCTATAAGGTGAGACTCCCCATCATATTTTGTTCACTTTTTTTTATATATTTCTCTGAATCTTAAAGAAAGTCACGATCGTCCTTTTCTTATTATTACATGCAGTCATTTAGTTTATAAAAATTGTTAATATCCCTACCAAATTCTGTATAATGCATTGAAGCGTCGTTTTGGAGTTAGTAAACAACAGCCATTTTTCGAAAATTGTCCTTTCAATGAAATCAAATGATTTTTTACAGGATTGTTGGAATATTAGTTTAAATAGTACTAGCGACAAAAATTTGTATGGTATATCTGAATTCAATTTTAAGTTGGTAAAAATGATATCTTATGTTTTTTTTTGACAAAAATAAAAAGCCATTTCGATGTCATTCCTTAATTATGAGTAAGAACATTTTTTACAGAATTTTTTTATTTACGAGCTAATATTGATTTTATTTTTTTACATCCCTTCCAAACAAACAGTATTTTTTTTTTTTTTTTGCTACAAACTGATGAGTGATCGACTCATAGAAATTATTACTTTACCTTTTCAAAGCAACAGCATGAAACTAGTATCAACTGAAATAAAAGTGATTTATTTCACCCGATGTTATTTGTTTTTGGTGTGCTACGATGTCATTCAAACCGGCTTAGAGAGTAAAATCATAACAACTTTGCCGTTCACTCCGAAAAATTCAAAAATTTCACAACGTTGCCACGTTTCTTCCAAATGAAATGCTTTTCATTAGCTGCAACAACGTCAACTGTGACTCATAATATTTCAAATTTGGATGCAATACTAAAATACGAGACTTATGGTGTTACAGTGACACTGTCCTATGCTTATACTCACTGAGCAACCCAATTCTTTGATTCAAAAGAAATTTCTTTACCCTCATTCCGTTTAATTTAATATTTTTTAATGAATGAAAAAAGTATAAGTTTACTTTATTAAAATTTTTTTTTTTTTNTTTTTTTTTTTTGGATCGACTACGTTTTTTTTTTAATTGAAAGAAAATATTTAATTGAATGAGGGTAAAGAAATTTTCTTTGATTCAAAGCATGGCATTTTGATTGTGTCTAACATTTCCGGTTAATATGATTAACCGATTCGTAGATGCGATGTAAATAATTATTAGAAAATTGAGAAATGAATTGTTTAACGAATGAGATGTTGACTACTATCATGTATCCAATTAATTTTATAAAGTATTTTGCAAGAATAACATTCCTAACGTATTTGGAGTTTGATTTTATTTGTAATGTTCTTATGAGTTCAAGTGCGTAGGATCAAAGCATGAATAAATAAAAAATGCATTAGTTAGCGAAAATAGTTGAGTTTTGAAATTTGTCTATGATATTAAATAATAGATCAAACAATGAATGATAAAAAAATGGAAGAGTTCAATGGCTGTATCACGGGTGTTTCTTCAAGTTTTTTTCTAAATGATGCAGAATCAACGAATTCGACATCACTCAGCGATCAGAACACGCTCAATATGAATTACGCCTTACTATCAGCTAAGGTAATCATGCCAAAACAAATTTTTACAAGCAATAATTAAAAGTTTTCACTGAGAAATTAAATTTGTTAAAAAAAAACATTAAAAAAATTTTTAGATAGGAAAAGAATATAAGGGAAAGGAAAAAGAGTACATTCAAAGAGAAGAATATATTTTGGAATCATTATTAAAAGAAAATGCTGAATTAAAAAGTAAGCTGTTTGAAAAGTCAGGAAAACATCAATCTTCTCCTCATAATGAGTTGTCCGTGATTTCTTCAATTATGAACGAGCAAAAAAAACACGGTGAACTTCTTAGCCGGTTAAAGGATTTAAATGAGGTAAACCCAATAAAATTTACTACAATAAGTTACTTAAATAAATTAAAAAATGCATGAAAAAAAATATATTTTAAGGAACCAAGCGATATAAATTTGTCAACTAACAGTGATTCTGCAACTCTGACTGTGCACCAAAGCGAAGAGGATGATATTGAGGTCATCATTCCAGCAAATGGTGAATTCACTGGATATCAGAACTTTTTAAGTGATACATTGTCAGATCAAGAAAGTTTTTTCTTAAAAAATAACAGTGACTTGGTCGAAACATTACATGGCAACAAAAAGTCAGCAACTAGTAGCAGTCTCTGCAGCAGCACTTACGATTTCTGTGATGACTTTGAGAACCAGCCACGAAATACAGATGTTCAAGACGGGGAAAAAAAGTTAGAGGTAACAACCGGAAGTATTCATGAGATTTTATTGGTAAAACCTCGTTTCTACTTTCCATTTATTTGTCAAAAAACCTGCCTGCACACGGTCCGTTGAGAGTATGCTAGTTGGGGTGAAAAATAATAACGTCAACGATGGTGTTCCTATACTCTCAACGGGCCATGTGCACATGGCGCAAAAAGGTTTTTCAGCACTATTTATACTTTTCGTAATTTTGTTGAAAACATAGCACTTACGAGATCAACCGATAATAATACAAAGCAATGTGAGGGATGATAAATTGAAATTTCAAGAGTCTCCTATCAAGTTCACAACTCCACCGTTTAAAAACGAATGTAGATCGATCGAAATATTGAGTAGCCCCACAACAAACGAAAACAACAAAAGTTACAGTATTTGTCATGATGATGAGAATTATGTACCAAAGATAGTGGTAGAAGAACAAATTGTGGAGTCAGATATAAATGTTAAAGAAGCCGAAGTATGTTGTGTTGAAGAGTGCAGTATTGAAATGCCGAGTCCAGCTGTAAAAAGTGTGAGTATACAATGTTTGCACTAAAACCTTAGGAATTAGATAATGCTTAAGTTGGACAGTCAACCAAAATAATTTTCTTTACTCACTTTCAGAATTTAAAGAAAGAAAAACAAAAACTGTTGGAAAATTTAAAAATGACATGTGAAAATATGGTGAAGTCTTTTGAAAAAACACTAATCGAGAATCAAGCACAGTCACCGATGGTAAGTAGAGGAGCACTTAATTTTTTTTTTTTCTATTGCAAATTGTTTTCATTTAAACTTTGTTTCCAGGACCATTCACGAGATTTTATAACAGAGATGGACGGAATAAATCCATCTCACAGGATACCAAAAAGCAAAGAAAGTGTTCATCAAAAAGACGTAAGCGAATCATTTTGTAACACCAAGGAATCATTTCAAGTGCACACATTCTAATTAATTAATTCCTAATGCATTGCAGAAAACCATCGTTTCTACAGCGTCCACATCGCTCGAGTCAACAAAAACCCCCACAAAGGTCCAAAAATCCAATTCTCTTAATGATAGCTCGTTTGCTGGAAGTAATAACCAAGACTTGACAACATCAACCATGATGCCAGTAATACTCCAAGCAAAAAACTCATCACAACTCAATATCTCTGCTTTGGCCCTACAAGCGACTTGTGACTTAGACGAGCTAGAGAGAGAGTCAGAGATACTGGTAAGAGTAAATCTTTCGCCTCGTTCAATATACCACTTAGTTGTCAAGTCAAAACTATCCTACTTTCTAGGCTCCTACCAGTGAGAACCAGAGATGCTCAAGTCCAGGAAGTGTTACGGACTGTCAGGGATCGCATGAAATGTCATCTGCAAAAAGCACTTCTCGCAACTTAAAGTATTCAATCGATGAATCCCTGTCGATCGGTAGACCAGACAAACTATCTGTGTTGTGTTCAGCTTTGAATAAGTTACGGCACAATATGGTCCACGAACGCCTAAACGAGATGTCAATGATGATGGAAAATTTGGAAGAAGCTCTCAAAGAAGGGACTTTATCAGACATTGGCGTGAAAGCTTATCAAGATATGTTCATGGGATACCGTAAGAATTTTTTGTCTGACAATCAGAATGTCATAGAAGAACAAGAAATCATCAATAACATTGCAGTAAACTATCGTGACATGTTTTACAAATGTCTTTCCTTGCGCAAAGAACTGGTTGCCCACAAGCAGTACGAGGAAGAACTGAAGAGTAAAAACGAATTGAAAAGCAATATTAGTGTTGTCAAACAGTATGAAAGGCAAATAGGTGGCCTTCGTGCATCCATCCAAGATTTGTTGCAAGAAAAAAGTATAATAAAGAGGGGCGTTGAAGAGTACATATTAGACGTAGAAGAGCAAAATAACGAAGACAAGGAAAAGCTGCGTCTGGAGTATGAAAGAAAAATGCGAGAAATCGAGGATGACTACATCGAAGAGTTGAGAGTACTGCAAGTGCAGAATCAAGAACTGGCTAATGAACTTACCATCAGTGCTAAAAATTTCAAACTTGCACAGAAACAAATCACTGAGGATCGGAGTTTGTACAAAGAAAGGATTAGTGAGTTAAAACAACAATTAGAGACAACCAGAGAAGAGTTAGAAAAGGTTAAAAAAGAGAGGGAAAATGACAAATCGGCTCAAAGTGGGTTAGAAAATACAATTAAAAACCTCGAGTCTTTGAATACAGAATTTTCAAGAGCAAGTCAGGAACAATCGTGCGAGTTGGCGAAAAAAACAGAGGAAATATGCCGCATTGACAGGGAAAACAAGAGCTTGCTACGAGTTTATAATCAAATGAAATCGAAGAGCGACAGTTTGAACATTGAGTTTACCAATATGAACAATGAACTCCAGCGTATGATCAAAGTGTCAGAGGATTTGGGATTGAAAAATGTTGCGTTGCAGGCTGAGGTAAGTGATCGTTATTTTTATAAATATACACTTAATCTTATACGATAAATCACTCGATATGATTCGTAGATCTCAGAATTTTTTAAATTAGCTATCTTAAAAAAGTTATACATGCTGTAATATAACATTGGATTATAAGTAAACAATTTTTCAATGAGAATAATCATTTGAGTAATAATATTTTCAAGCATACTACAACCAAGCATCTTTTACGTGTGGATAATTTGTTTTATAGATTTTTGGTACAGCATTTGTATTTTTTTTAAAGTTCCGATCTAAAGAATTGTATAATTATCGATGGTATACTGATAATTTTGATTAATTATTGTTTTACATTTGTACAGAGTTTAATAATTTTATTAACTAAAAAAGTCTTGTACATCACAGTTTCATACAAATGTAAATAATGGTATTAATATTTATTTTTTAGGTCAATAGTTTGAGAAGCTGCAAAGTTGATAATGAAAAGTTGGAAATGAAAATTAAGAATCTAAAAGAAGAAGAAGTTAATTACTTGAGAACGATTGAAATGTTGTCACAGCAAATACAAGTTCAAGACGAAGAAACTTAATAACTGAATGTACATAGTTATAACGTGGTGAAAAAATTAGTGCATGTCGTTTCGATTTCTAATGTTTTTTTGTTTGTTTTATTTTTTTGCGCAAAAGTTATTGTTACACATAATATTATATATACATTGTGCTGTGATTATCCTTAAAATAATACGTACTTCTACATTATTATTTTTTAGTATTATCTGTCACACCTTTAAAATCAATTTAATTATTTCGATCTTTTATTATTTATGTTATAAGTCTCATTTAATTTCAAATAAAGATCATTTGGGTTAACATTATTCATTTTGTTTACCGCTAAATTCACCGTGAACACTAAATTTTTATTCAGAAGATTGACTAGGTATTAAATTATGTGGCATAGCCAAAAAAAATCACTTTTACAAGTATAAATACTAACTATATCATGGATACTGAAACACTTCTACGATATTAATTTGGTCTACCGTTAAGGAGACTAATATTACCTTAATAAAATACCCATGTAAGTGAATATTTTTAATTCGCAATTCAAATTCAAGTATACATTTTTATGTCTTATAGAATTTCGATTAGTAAAAACTATGGCAAGTCCAAAAACAACATTTTTCAAAACTGTGACTGACTGGTTTTTTATTGAAAAATTAGTTATGTATGAAATTTGTTATCCTCCGATTCACTTATATATTATCATATTTCTGTTTTGTAGCTTACAACCTTTTTTTATTATTTAGCTTCGTTTCACAACAGAAAGTAAAATAAGAATGACGTGTACTGGGGAGTCTTCGTATCTTGTAAAAAGCGACAACAAAGCTGCAGTTCAACGCAGATACGAGTGCTCGTGATGTGCGCTGTTTTCCATTCGGCTGTCCTCGGCGCGTTTCGGTCTTCATTAAATGCTGTTTCTTTCTTTTTCCCTCTCCCGCATCAGTACTGGGATCAAAATTATACCACTACAGTTATAAAGTTAACTGAGAGCTAGAAATGAAAAAGTAAAAGCGTTCGAGAATCGGAGAATCACTGCAGCCCGCGTCGACGAAAGATACAAAGAGGTCCGCTCCCCATATCAAATGCAACTGGTATGTTAAACAGTCGTTTTGCATTAGTAGTTTAAGTAGTTTTAGTTTTTTTGTTTTTTTTTGTTTTTTTCTAAACAAGTATTCTGGTTTTTTTAACAAACATTGGTGGCCATACGTGTTGTGCTTAAATCTGTGACATAACCGAGGACATAACGAAGTGATAACTGGTGATTTTTATCAGTCAATGGATACGTTATTTTTTTTTTCATTTGCTTTTTTAATCTTTCGGTATTCCAGAAGGGCCAGAATGTGTGTGTTTATACGATTCGTTAAAACATAAATATTCTATTTTAATTCAATCTCACATTAAATCGATTTAAAAATATAAAAAGCAGCTATTGCCTACTAAAAGTGTACGTATTTAAAACAAAATAGTATTTCAAATGCTGAGTGTATCGTATTATATAGGTTAGTCAAAGTGTAACACGTGGTGAATCTAAAAATAAATTGACGTTGCAGTGGTAAACGAGGAAAATTTTTTCATTATAATTTTCAAGCTACGGAATATCAAAGATAATGATTGTGTGCAACGGCAAGTTAGTTGAAAGTTTTAGGTCATCCCACACACGTGTGAAAGAGAAAGGGAGTAAAATGTCGTTACGTATTGGAAGAAACCCGTTTTAAAGCTTGCACGAAATTCAAATCAATAAATAAGTGTGTCGAATTTCATAACACCAATGGGTATTAGATATATTTTTTAAAAGGGGGGTATTGGGTTATCGTTTTTTTGGGTAAAAGTTTGTTTTGTAAATATAATCTTGAAAAAAAATGACACGAGTCAGTAATCAATACACGTTTCAATTTTAGAAGTACGATTTTTTTTTTAATGTAAATGAAAATTTTTATGTTTATACACAGGCATTTAGGGACTGTCTCCTTAATTTTTATGGCCACTACTTTTAAAAACTTTTCATGCAGTTTATTTTTTTTTCTTTACACTTAAAAATGTCTTTTGTTTGCCGAGTTCTAGATTAAAGTTATCGAAAAATTTAATTTTATCATAGCACAAGTGATTACAATGAAATCGAAAAAAGTAAACAACCCATATCCACAGAAATGGTAAATATACCTATTCAAAAACAGTTTTAGTATTAATCACTTAGTTTTTTGCAGCATGACTATTTTTTCAATAATTTGAATGAAATTTTTGGAACCTTCCTAATTCTAACTTCAAATAAAAATAATGGAGGTGCAAAATTAAATTGAACTGTGCCATACGAGTACAAAAATTTATTTTATGCAAGCGTAAAGTAGTCGTATGTGAGAAGCAAAAATAAGCAAAAAAATCAGTAGTTACTATTACATACAATGTTAGGCTATTGTTACCTTGTCCTTTGCTTAATACCTATCCTCCATGAAAAATTCCATGAGGTTTAAGTATAGCCTTTTTTCCAAGCATTTGATTCGTTGACGCATAGTCAAGTGGTATTAATTAGGCGGAAATTTCGAAATATTTTACGTACTATCATAATTATTATTAGCATTGTCATAACATAAATTTCTTGAAAAAACAAACGTGGTAAAATTATACACAACTGATGGAGAAAAATCAACGAACTATGTCGTATTTTCTCATCTACCTTGACCAGTTCGAATTTCATTATAAAAGTTAAAATAAAAACTCAAACAGAAAAACGTGTTACCTACTTTCTACTCATTAACGCCCGACTCGTTTGCACAATCGTTCTAGCTACCAAAAACTCCGAACTCAACGTAACCCATCGTTATTCCATGTTTCAGAAAATCATCTAAAAGGGGGACAACCAAACACACAAGAGCAAAAAAAAAAAAAAAAAAAAAAAAAAANAACTATGTCGTATTTTCTCATCTACCTTGACCAGTTCGAATTTCATTATAAAAGTTAAAATAAAAACTCAAACAGAAAAACGTGTTACCTACTTTCTACTCATTAACGCCCGACTCGTTTGCACAATCGTTCTAGCTACCAAAAACTCCGAACTCAACGTCACCCATCGGTAAACCATGTTTCAAAAAATCATCTAAAAGGGGGATAACCAACCACAGAAGAGCAAAAAAAAAAAAAAAAAAAAAAGAAAAGACAAAGCAAGATGTTCTCCCGAGTCCAACAAGCGTCGAGAACCCTTAACAGAAACACAAGCCGTGGCTACTTGACAGACCTGGTGCGCGTGGTGGAGGTGGGCCCCCGAGACGGCCTGCAGAACATAAAAACGCCCCTGTCCACGGAGACGAAGGTCGAGCTCATAACGCGGCTGTCAAAAACGGGTCTGCGCTCCATCGAGGTGACGAGCTTCGTGTCCCCAAAGTGGGTACCACAAATGGCGGACAGCGCCGAGGTGCTCAATGCCATACCAGCCATCCCAGGTGTCGACTACTCGGTCCTCGTGCCCAACACCAAGGGCACCCTCAACGCCATCGAGCACGGCGCCAAGGAGGTGATTGTCGTGGCTGGGGTCACCGAGGGCTTCACCCGGGCCAACCTCAACTGCTCCGTCGAGGACAGCCTCGCCCGCATCTCCGACATCCAGCGCGTTTGCGCCGAGCACCGGGTGCGCGTGCGAGCCGCGCTCTCCTGCTGCCTCGGCTGCCCCTACGAGGGCAAGGTCGACTTCAAGGTCGTCGCTCGGCTGGCCGAGGCGTTGCTCAGGGCCGGCTGCTACGAGGTCAGTCTGGCGGACACGATAGGCGTGGGCACGCCCAAGGGTATCGGCCGGATGCTCGGGGAGGTGAGGGCAGCTGTTGGGGGTGACGTTTGGCGCTTCGCCGCGCACCTACACGACACGTACGGCCAGGCCCTGGCTAACGTGTACGAGTGCCTGAACCAGGGGGTGCGGGTGTTCGACTCGTCGGTCGCAGGACTCGGTGGGTGTCCTTACGCGCCCGGGGCTACCGGCAACGTGTCGACCGAGGATCTGTTGTACCTGTTGCACGGACAGGGCATGCAGACGGGCGTTGATCTCGACAAGGTGGCCGAGGTCGGGTGGTTCATCAGTCGACAGATACCGGCCGACAACTGCTCCAGGGTGGGAAAGGCACTGCTTGCCAAGGATAGTGCTCGATGCTATGCAAAAGGACAAAGTTCGTGATAGTAGTATACGATTTTTGTTGTTTACGGTGTTGTTGGTTCATTCCAGTGTACAGTGATTGTTCATTGGATTTTTCAAGTTGGCTGGATAGTTTTTATATTGACTCAAGATTTTTTTTTCTTCAAGATGATTCATGCGAGTTTTTTTGTATGTGTACCGGACTTTACAATACAAGAGAGATTATAGGTTTTTTTTTTATTTTTATATGTATAATACGACAGTTTGACGATGTTGCAAAGCAGGATGGATTTGAGCTGGGAAAATAGGGTTAACTTTATTGTTTTATGTAATTTTTTTGTTTTGTTTTTTTAGATCGATTTGTATACGTTGAAGAAACTGTCGTGTGTGACGTGTTAATTCGTGTTGTAAATATTGTTGTAGAAAAATTAAATGTTCAAATAATTGTGTATCCATGTGCGTTTGAAATTTGACAAGACATTTCTAATGAATATTAATAAATATAATAGAAAGAATATCCATTTGCCTTGTATTTATTTCAGAATTTTTCGTGCTTGCGAGTTGCACCCAATACTAGTAGTTTATCGTGAGTTTTGGGTATTAGTTTTTGAGGATTGGTGAGAAGTTCATCCACATAAAATTTATTGTAAAAACGGGATATAGGGATCTTTTCTAGCTAATCCATCAACAAATCGAGAAATAATCGTAATGTTCCCGTGCTAAACTTAACTCACGTTACTCGTTGATGACTAATGCGCTAATATTCAGCCCTAACGAGCTGCCGATGGCGTATCCATTTTTTCCTACGACACGCACGCACTTATAATAAACACTAAAGTTGCCCCGAGCCGGATGTCCCCACTTTCGATCGTAAAGTAATTTCGGGAGGTTGTACGTGCACGAGATCGCTCCGTATGGTACTGTCCCAGTTGCTGCTTCTAGGCTCGCAACGACTGATTGTTTGATGGCCCAAGTTTTTTAAGGACACACCTGCTTTGCCATTTGTAGTGCAGGCGAGAGAGAGAAAACGGGGTCAATTAATTGGAGATGAATAAAATCTCGCTGCATAAGTCAATGGCTATCAGTTGGAGTGTAAAATCATCACGCGAACCGGTCGGGTGGAGAAGGGGTGATTTATCGCTTGGTGCTTTTTTTTTAAATATCGTGAGAGACCGCCGTGAGGCTCTCGAGTTCGTTCTATATATGGAGAAAACTTGAGCGCGAGTGCTGCTGAAAAAAAAAAAATGATGTCATTTGATTTTAATGGAGATTTTTATACAGGTTGCTACGATTTTTTAACTTAAAACAATAGTTTTTGGGTTTTGGTTTGAAAAGTGCAGATTTTATTTTTAAAACGTTTTTACTTATAAATCATTATGCCTTTTTTTTCCGTTTTGGATTTTTCAGAAATTTTATTCCATTTTTTAATTATTAGCGAAATGCTGAAGCAAAAACAGTTATTTATACCTTAGTGTTCCATGTAGAGTTTCATCAATCCAGGCTTAAAATGTTCCTATTTCAAAATTTATGGTAGCTCAGAAACTAAAAAGTATGGTTTTACCTTACGAACGTTCCAAAAACAAATCATTTCTTAATTGAATAAAACTGATTTTTGCTGTTTTTCAGTAAAAAAAAAAAAATAATAATACACACACGTACACACATATTATGTAAAAAACAAAGTTATGAATCGTAAGTGTATACACGTGCAAATCATACCTATACTTTTCGCAAAGTTCTTTCGCCCGCCAAAGCTCCTCCTCGGGCTTGACGCACGTGCGGAAATCCGTGACCCAGGCAAAGTGCCTCCACCTGCCCAGGAAGGTGCTCTGGTCCCAGAGCGGCTTGTCCAGATCCAGCCTTTCCCCGTTGCTCGCCATTATAAAACTAATGCCTCGAATTTCTCCGGAAATGTATTATTATTGTATCCCTGCAAAAGATGCATCATTTTTATACATATATATATATCTTTCAATATACAACTTATAATAGACATTTGGCTTATTTTGTCTCGTTCGCGTTCGTACCGCACACGCATGAATTNATATAAATAGAAAAAAATTATCAGTTATTATTTCATAATTTTTTGAACAATACACACAAGATCTTATGTCATAAATAATTGTAAAAAATAATTTAGTAGTATTTGATTTAGTACTTATTGAAATATATTGACAACTATTATTTAAAAACAAAAAAAAATATTACTCTTGCAAAATTAAAATTCAAAATTTTCAATTAAAATACTAAAAAAAATTAGTTGTATAAAATTTTATTACTGTAATCTCAGTGCAAAAAATAAAGTTGATGTCTAATATTGTTTTCCAAACACAAAGCAAAAGAATAGAGCTTGAGAAAGCTTTGCTGTAAGTAATTGTAATTGAATGCAGTATTCTGTCGACACTATTAGTTAAAAAACCAGTTGGTTGATTGTTGTAACAAAGCATATATAACCTATTGAATACAAAATTAAACAATACAAAAAAACTGATATATTAAGATACACTTTATGCATGTTTTTAAATGTTTAGGAAAATTTTGCTAGTTATTTTGTATTAAGAAACACTAATCTGACACAGTTTTTAACAGTTTTTAATTTTAACGCTGGTTGTGCTCAAAANCACCCTTCCCGCAGAGGACATCCATTCGAGACGCGGTATTGAAAACTCGCGTGCCGGAGCGCTAAAAACTCGCGCTGTACACCCCAACCCCACGTGTAGAGAGAAAGAGAGCACAAAGGCTTTCGGGGAGTATATTAACATCCGGAAGAGAGAGAGAGAGAGAGAGAGAGGAAAACAGGAGAGAATTCACGTATACCCGTGAGTTATGGACGACTTGGCTGTTATGTTGGGTACTTTATAAAAGTTGGTATAACCAAACCGAAAAATTAGTTAACAATGTACTGAAAATAAACAAATAAATAAAAAAAATGGCCTGTATCGTATTAATACCAAAAAAAGGAATATTAAATATTTTGTAATTAAAGAAAAATTTTTCTTGTAAACCTTAGTTACGTACTGGATTCACATAATCTTTTTGAGAAATTTTTGAGAAACAAACAACAGTCATGTAAGAAATAAATTCAAATCTAAAAAATGCAACTTCCGCGCGCTTTTTAGTGAGAGAATTATTTCTAAACAACTTATTTCTATCATAAAAAAATAAAATGATTAACTAAATAAAAAAACCAAAAGTAAGGGACCAAACGAAAGATCGCTTTTGAAAATATCTACAAAACTTTTGACAGCATCCTTCCAAGTAAGTATATAGTCCGTAAAAAAAATTTTTAACTCACTACAAAGATCCAGAGTACACCCCCTGCTAACACCAAAACTTACGTGAAACAAAAAGCAGAAGGAAAAAGCTCATCAATAAAGCGAAAACAAAAACACTTGTGCTCTCTCATTACGCCACCACAAATCCTCTCTCCACAAAAAAAATAAAAAAAAATAAAAAATCTCCAATGCATATGCAATAGCACCAAAACTTTTACAGATGATAACAGGAAGATAGCGCACAAAACGCTCTCGCGCTTTCTTCGCGTGACTCGCTTCATTTCGCGCACGCATTGCGTGTGCGGGTAAGTTCTCTCGTGTGCACGATGCAAAACAAAAAAAAACAAAAAAAAAAAAGAAAAGGCAAAACTATTTTGAGAGAAATAGAAAGAAAGGAAAGGCGCATGATGCGACCGCGGGTGCTCATTACGCTCATCGAGTAAATTTTTTTTTTTTGTTTGCAACTCAGGTGCACACGCATGGAAGGAGACGGAAGATCCATTAAGGCGAACGCAGCGTTTACGACGCCGAGGATAAAAGATCCGCTATACACGTGGAGCGGATACATCCAACGGTCCGCACGCGCGTGTGTAATTTTGTTTAAAAACAAAACAAAACAAAGCAAAAAAAAGTGCACGTAATAAACTTCAACTTTGGAGCATACGAGGGGTAATTCATGATTGTGCAACACACGATTAGGGCACATGGAAGCGTGTAATGCTATTTGGGGAAATGAGGGAGTAGTATACGGTTTAGGCTCATTAGACGCGGGGGCCTTTTCCGGAGGAAAAGAACCGGTACAATACAAAGAGGGCCTCCTCAGTGCGGTTGAAGTAGACTCATTATTATGTGTATCACGTGATGATGACGAGAATAAGTAATAAGTATTATATTGGTACATGATTGCGCAGAGAGAAACATCGCGTCACGGTGGAACCACGTTTTTACGATATTGCACTCGTTGGAGCCAACTCGTTTCATAGGTAATAATATCATTTTTACGATCTTTTTAAACTGCATATTTTTTCTTTTTCAATTCTGTACATCACCTACATAAGCTGCTGAATCGTAAAAAGCATGGTTATAAATTTCAATTAAAAAAAAAAAAAAAAAAAAAAAAAAAACAAATTTGTTTTTGTTACCCCGATAACAACATCGCGGGGCCCGATTGTATCAGCCGAAATTGCTTGTAATGCGTTCATCAAAGAGATTTCATTACGAGCCCTAACGAGTACGCCGGTGGAGCATCAAGCCCCGATGTTATCGCGATACCCGACCTCACCACCCATTAATTACCCCCACGGACCTGCCGATCGCAACAATCACCTTTCCATTCAAGCCTGCAAAGGCAGGACAGGCTCAACGCTTCCTCCTCCGTTGCGAGCACGTGCTCCAGCCAACCTTGACCCGACGCTCCAAGCTAAGTATCCCCGCGTTCAAGGAGGAGGACCTCAGCCGACCTTCGCGGCGCGCTACAGGACGAGGCAAGCGCCGGGACTTCAAAGCTCACGGCCTTGCCCTTCGGCCGCAGGCCCTTTTCTTCTCCCTCCTGCGGGCGTCGATCTTTATATCGTTGTGTGCATCGAGAGATACTGCAGACGTACGTGTACCTACACACACATTGGAGAGCGCAGGACTTTGTTTTTCAGTGTTGCAGGTTTTTGTTTTTGCGATCGGCAGGAATGCATGTTATAAAGCACATCGGGATGAATTTATATCATAGGCGCGCGCGCGGATGATGGTTTTGTTTTGTTTTTGTTTTGTTGGGATGTATGTAACGTATGGGGCTCGTGGCTTGGTAGTCCCCTCCCCCTCTTCCTCTCGCTATCTTTTCATTTACGAGTGTAGTGGGTCTTGAGCAAACGTTGTATCGCGGGTACCCACTTACTTTATATTGCTTTATATGGATGTATTTTTAATGACTAATGAAAAATTTTTTTTTTTTTTTTTTTTTTTTTTTTTTCTTTTTTTTTTTTTTTTTTTTAGGAGTTCCCAAAGTAGCCCTTAAAACCATCTTCCCTCGTCGGATAAAGCGCCACTTGTGGTTAGCTTGATGATACTCAGCTATTGATGGATTGATTAGGATAATTAAAGACGTAGTGTAATATGTACTACATAGAAATATAATCTTTTTTTTTTTTTATCAAGGCAAAAATATTTACATAAAATTTTGTTTCCTTTCTGT